TGTTTCAGAAATAACAATACTGGCTGCCACAATTACTGCTTCCAACAAAGTCATGGCTAATGCAACTTATTCTTGAAAATAATAATAATATTAATAAAGTCCTATCATCTACGTTCTAATATTTTAAACTGGCAGAGCCAAAAAAGCAAGTGCGAGGAAGCTGTCAAGACAGCAATAGAAGTTGGCTTCCGTCACATTGATGGCGCATACTTATATGACACTGAAGATCAGGTTGGACGCGCTGTTCGACAGAAGATTGCTGATGGGACAATAAAAAGGGAAGACATTTTTTACACAGGAAAGGTATGGTAACCACTTCTGAATGTCCTTTTCTTCTTGATCAACCAAAATATAATGAACATGTTGTAGAAAAGCCATTGTTCAATAACACATTTCATACACATTATCAAGGTTATTCATGAATAAGGTTGCTCTGTACTATTTATGCCATTGATTACAGGAATGCTCTCTTATTAGTAAATGTATCTGTTATTGTTCAAGAGGACTTGAATTTTTTTAACTTTCAAAATGTTCATTCCAAAAAGTTTCCTTTTTCTGGTTACTAGATGGACAGGGTTTTCTTCAGATGTTCAGGTGTAGAGCTGTGACACCCCCTTACAGGCACATTAATAGAGCAGGACAGGCTCACAAGAATAATTGCTTTCAGGAACACCATATGTATTAATCTACTACTGTTGCACTGTGGACACCACAGATATCAGGGCCAAAGAAACTATGAATTTTTCAGCTTTGTTTCGCCAGATTCTGGCTGCTTAAACAACTCGTGTTCTCCATGGCCTATGACTGCCTGTTCCTTTTCATTTCACAGAACTAATGGCCAGAATCCTATGGAAGACTTACACAGGCATAAGTGATCTGCCACAAACTATGGGAGCAAATTCCCCTAATTAACAAGATATTGCTCACATTCATAGTCATGCAGAAAGCCAAGTGACTGGCACACAACTAGAAATGCAAGTGGCAACTTGTTAATTAGCAGCAATTATTTGCTGCAGTTTAAGCCATTACACTTACACTGCTGGAAAGGGTTGTAAACATTGTACCTTTGCTCTTGTATTAAACGTGATTATATATCAATATTAGAGAGAGAAAGAGAGCTATCATATGTCTTTTATTCTTCTCAGCTAGGCATTTTCTCTTAGCTCAAAGGCTGCAAGCAAGTTCAATTATATGGTTGCAGGTTTTTTGGGCTGTTTGGCCGTGTTCCGAAGGCGATTCTTCCTAAGGTTCCCCAGTCTCTTTGGCCGGCATCTTCAGAGGACAGGAGAGATGGTTGGGATTTGCCTTTAATGCCGGAGGTGGGAACGCAACGACAATCCCATTTGCCTGTAAAGCCTGCCCCCCAAGATACCTATTGTTAGAGAATGGAAGATTGTTATTAACCCAACACGTACCAGATGAGAAGTCAGAACCTGGCCACAAGAAGCAAATTGTTCCTTGGCTAAGATCTCTCCCTGCTAAGATCTCTGCCTGCTACAGTCCTGCTGTTCTGTGGTTGTTATCAAAGATTAAACATCTGTAAATTTCTGACAGCTTTGGAGTACCTTCCACCGGCCTGAGTTAGTTCGGAAGTGCTTAGAAGAATCTCTGAAGAAGCTCCAGTTTGACTACATGGATCTGTTCATAATTCACAGTCCTTATTCTATGAAGGTGAGGATTCCTCAATAACATTGAAAGCATTACAGCACAATTTAACTGATGAAAAGTAACATTCCCCATGTCTGTCTGAGCATACATGTTCACTAATAACATGTATTGGTTTGGTTGTCATGATTTTGCCAATGAATATAAAAAACTGTAATTTGTGGAGAGACACAGGCCAGAAAATGATATTAGAGATAGTCCATGATATGAAGTGAGAAATTCGTAACTTACGAAAGCATCTGAGTATCCCAGCACAAACTGCTCTCACTTTATTAGAGATAGTCCATGATATGAAGTGAGAAATTCGTAACTTACGAAAGCATCTGAGTATCCCAGCACAAACTGCTCTCACTTGTAGGAATATGCAAACTAGCTTCCTTTGCTTAGATCTTGGTCCCTTCTCTGCAACATTAATATCTTTTCACCTCTGATTAACAGCTGTTCATAAAATCTTGTTTTGCTCATAGTTTTTAGATTTCCTGGAAAGTTAGCTCTCTCTGCTCCCTTCTAAAGCCTAACTGCATATATTTTATTTTTTATTCACAGCCTGGCCCAGAATTAAGGCCCAGGGGAGAAAATGGAAAATTAATTCCTGATGTGGTAGATCTTCGTAAAACATGGGAGGTAGGTGACAGCCCTTACAAAATCAGGACTCTTAGTATTAATATTGTTACTATTTGTTTCTACAAGACAGAAAATGATTCACAGCACCTTAAGAGGAGTGTCCTATGAATATCCTAGTACAGTGTGCCTTGACTTACGAACATAATTGGTTCCAGAACTCCGGTCATAACTCGAAATGGTTGTAAATTGAAGCACTATTTCCCATAGGAATGCACTAAAATGCAATTAATCCATTCTGGCTGAAGAAAAAAAATCACCCAAAAAGAAAAAAGCACGGACATGATTAATTCATCCAACACAATTAATCCATTCAGGCTTGGGGGGTGGGAGGAGAACAGCAAACAAACCGTGCAAGACCCTTAGGAAATGCAAAAAAGCAAAGCAGAAAGTTGTTCCTGCCCCCGTCACGCCTTTTATTTAGCTAAATAAAACAGCAACCATTTGAACTCTCTCTCATATCAAGGTTATTGGCATTAAAACTTTGGCTCGTTGTTCCAAAAGACTAGCTCCTGGTTTCAACAGGAGCCCCAAGGATTGCTGTCATTGTCATTAAGGTTCATGAATTGTCTTGCCGCTGCTCCATCCCCTGCATTTCAAATGGCACGATGGGCCCAGGTGTGCAACACTCTCTGGTCATTGTGTCTGTCTGTTAAACGAGTATTAACGTAACGTGACATAAATGTAACAAAGATACACACACATACCTCAAACAATTGCAACAGTGATGTATCGTAGCCCAAATCTAGATGCTAAATTTGTACAGCCAACCCTGGTTTCTAAGCCGGCTGGAGCATTAAAGGGAAGGCGCCACCTTCCTGATCTAGGCTCAGTAGCAACTAAGAGATTGATGAGTTACCAAATCTGCCCTGTTTTCTTTCCCAGGCGATGGAGGCGTGCAAAGACGCAGGCTTGGTGAAGTCTATTGGAGTGTCTAATTTCACCATTAAGCAGCTGGAGATGATCCTGAACAAGCCAGGGCTGAAATACAAGCCTGTTTTGAACCAGGTGAAATGAAATTACCATTTATGCATGTGTGAATTGATATCAAGGTCTGATACCTACCCTTCCTTCAGGCTCCCAATGGCTTCCCTGCGTCAACAGGAATCCTAAGGGACCCCAGTATCTGAGAGGCCAGAATACAAAGTTTTAAATTAGGTCCTTTTGAATAAAATGCAAATAACCATAAAGGTATTAATGATAATACCTTTATGGCTCCTCAGTTTTTAAAAATCTGTTGGCAGTTAAGTAGCACTATAAGTACTGTTTCTTCCCATGTTGCTCCCAGGATTGATGGTTATTCTCTGTTCATAAAACACCAGAAGGGGATTAAACAAAATTATTAATAAGTACAGCCCTAGAATGAAGGACAGTCTGAGAGAAAAGCTATATAGGATGCGTTCACGATCCCAAGCTCTAAATGCATAGACTCCAGAGGCTGTGATGCTGCAAACCCACAAGCACAAAAACATGACCATTTTGATGGGCTGGAAAACAGAGTGCATATAAAAAGACAAGCACATGTTTTAGTGGATGAATACTGCAAGGTATATAAACATGCACAAACGTGTACTTACTTCTCAGTCTCCCTTCTGGCTTACTGCATTCTTGCCTTTCCCTTCTGAAGTTTCCTTTTTGGACCGTGTTTGTGGCTTGTCTCACTGCAGGTCGAATGTCATGTCTATTGGAGCCGAAACAAGCTGCTGGCCTTCTGCAACTCTCATGGGATCCTCCTGGAAGCATATAGTGTCTTGGGAACTCAGAGGGATCCTGCATGGTAAGACAGAGTGTGAGTGAGTGAGTGAAAGAGAGAGAGAGAGAGAATTGGGGAATGCCCACCTCCTTGGGCCTCTGCTCTTCTCCATTACAGGAATTCTGCTCTCAGGAGGTTGTCCATGTGGCAATTGATTCTTCAGGTTCAAAGGTCTCTCCATCCCCTTTAAAGCACTTTGGGACCACATTATCTCAGGGACCCCTGAGTGCCCACAAAATTTTTTCCCAGCCTTGCCATCAGTATTGGAGGCCTTGCTGTCAGCCACACCATCACCTAAGATTCCAATGGGACTTTTTTGGGGGAGGCAATTCATTCTGGAATTGTTTCCTAGAAGGATTCATCAACCTCCTCCCTTCACAAATCGAGGAACGCTTTAAAAAATTATGTAACTTTTGCTGGTTTCCATTTAAAATGCTATATTTGTTGAATTCGTTATTTTTATGAAGAGCAGCGTTGGTTGGTTGCTTTAACGGCAATCGATTTTGTTCATCAGTTGCATTTCAATTGTATTGTAAGCTCCTTCTAGTTAAAATTTGGATTATAGCAATCAATAAGAATGGAGAGTATTCAATAAGGAATGTAAGAAAAGATTCTAAACACGTATATCCTGCTTCAGTGTCTATGATTTATCAGGTGGCTTTGATCAGGGTTTCTCCAAGACCAGACCTTTTAACATGAAACTCCATTTCCTTCCTCTCTCCCACAATCAGCCTGTTTTCTGTGGCCACTGAGCATGCTCAGTTGTCATTAAGACTTATTAACATTTCCCCCCTAAACTTTGGGGGCACCATTGATGTATAAAACCGAGAGCTAAAGTGGTGTAGCAGGTAGAATGTAGGACTAGGGCACTGGAGACCAAGGTTCAAATCACACATTCCTTGAAAACCCCATTAAGGGAGCGACCAGACAGGTGTTTCCAATGGTGTTTGTACCTTGTTGCTCATTGTTCCTTTCAGTGTTTATTCTGTCAACTGCACAACCTTAGTGCTAGTCACGATTCAATCCAATCTCTCAGCGTGAATATGTGGTATGTTTTGTTTGGCCAACAAAAATGGAGGGGTGGAGTTTTTGTTGTTTCTATTTGCACTGTTTTAATTTGCTTTTGTTTTGTTTGATTGGCTGTGTCGGTCCATTAGGGGGTTATTGGGCATGTCCAGATAACAATACTGATAATGCACACATTGGGGGATTGTGCGAGAGTGAACCCTATTCCTTTGGAATAGATTTGCTTTCTCTTTCTCGTTTGTATTCCTGCATCGAGCAGGGGTTTGGACTTGAAGGCCCTGTTGGCCCCTTCCAGCTTCACTCTTCTGTGATTCTAATGTGACTCCCTAACAGGATAGATCAGAACTTACCTGTTCTTCTTGAAGACCCAGTCCTGAACGCCATTGCCAAGAAGTACAGCCGAACCCCGGCTCTGGTGGCCCTACGCCATCAGTTGCAACGTGGTGTGGTGGTCCTTGTCAAGTCTTTCAACAAACATCGCATTGAGGAAATAATCCAGGTAAAACAGCAAAAGTAAACGCTTGCCACTGCACCTGTATCTGCATCGCTTGCCCTCTATTTAGGAGTAGTTGGTACAGATCTGTGTTTCCCTTCAGACAGTCTTCTGGGCTATACAATTGTAAATTGCAGGACAATTTTTCAGATAATTACTGCCTCTTGACTTTTTTATTCCTTAAATGCTCTCCCTGCATGTAGTAAACTAAACAGAAGAAGGGGAGGGTGGAGACAAGTATTTCTTTATGAGGTACTTGTTTAATACATGCAGGGTTATTTTTGCCTTGTTTTGATAGAGGAGCATGTGGAAGTAAGGTATCTGGAGAATATACTTCTTAGTATAGCAAACACTACTACAGCAGACTGTGTCTTTCTGTGTATATTAAAGTAATAAATAAGTTTAGGATTTGAAGAGGAGAACCTGGCAATTACCGGTATATTTTAATATATTACCATTACCATCCAATTCACATTCTAAAACACTGTAGGCCAACATTTTGTGCTTTTGCCATCTTGTTCTGCTTGATGTTTAAACCAGCTTTGCCCATTTGGATCCTATCCTGCTGTGTAGGTCTGCAAATCATTCAAATGACAACCGATGGGAGTTTTAGTCCAGTACAGCTAAAGGGTGACAAGGCTGAGGAAATTTGAGTGCAGTTTCACTTTGCATAAGGAGAGAGAGGTTGCCTCAGAGGAAGAACAGAGCCATGTCCCTGGCTGAAGCGCCAGAGGGTGGGCGCTTGACTCCCTATGGTGCCTCCTGAGAGAAGAGCCTGCCTGTGTAGCCTTGGGCAAGATACAGAACCCTCGAGTGCCCTCAGGAGGAGGGATTGCTCAGCTGCTTCTTAGTACAGTAGGACAACTGTAACCACGGGGAATTGTTCCAAACCCTTCTGCAGATGCTGAAAAATGCAGATTATAGCAAACACTATTGTGATTTTAAAAAAAAATGCTACACATTGCATAGTATGGCTCACTCTGGTGGCCAGTTCTGTTAAAATCATTGTATGAAAGAAATCTTTGGGGGATTTTCTTTTAATATTTTTAATATTTTCAAAACTTGCCTAAATGGCCCCAACTGTACTTTGTGTCCAAAATAGTCACTATAAGCTGGAATTGATTTTGTGGAACATGTTCATTTATTTATATCCAGTGGTGCCTGCTCTGACTGGCAGCAGCTCTGCAGGTCTCTCAGGGTCACACGCCCCTCGTGGTTCTACCTGGCAGTGCTAGAGATGTGGCACCTCGACCTTGGTGCAGGTCACACCTGCGGCAAATCCCTGGATTGCTTTCTGGGACGGCCCAATTCTTCTCCTTCTGCCTGAGGGAAAGGGCAGGATGGCTCCATCCCCTTCGACATAACTGGAATCAACTGTATTGGCCACCAAGTCTTACTTCAGCAGAAAAACTTGGGAGGCTATGATGTCCTGAGTCAGACCCTTGGTACATTTAATCTGATACTCACTCCCTATATTTGTTTAGTACTACCTGAAGATAAAAAGGGTGTGGTTGCACTGTGGGTTAAACCGCAGAAGCCTCTGTGCTGCAGGGTCAGAAGACCAGCAGTCGTAAGATCGAATCCACACGACAGAGTGAGCTCCTGTCGCTTCTCCCAGCTCCTGCCAACCTAGCAGTTTGAAAGCATGTAAAAATGCGAGTAGATTCCACCACGGTGGAAAGGTAATGGGGTTCCATGTCTAGTCACGCCGGCCACGTGACCATGGAAACTGTCTTCGGACAAACGCTGTATAGCTTAGAAACGGGGATGAGCACCGCCCCCTAGAGTTGGACACGACTGGGCTAAATTTACCTACCTGAAGATACCAGGATTGGAAGCTGCATGTAAAGCATGTGCTCTGCCGCAGATACATAGCTTCTCTTAATGTACTAGACAGTTTCATGCTCAAGGACAGCAGATAAATACTAGTGGTGGAACATGCCATTGGGCCTCTATCAGAGGGTTATGGCTGGAGAGCTGGACCCCTCAAAGCATCTCGAAACTCACTTCACTAACGATAGGTCTGGCCCTTGCCTCCATCTTTCCTCCTGCATGACGACATCAGTCAAGGAGAGTGGAATGTATCTTTCTGTCAAAGTCATGATGAGAATAATTTGAGACGTAGTAAAATCATTAGAGGGAGAGCCAAAACATGGTGGCCGATAACCTGTTTGGAGCATAAGGGTGACCACATACAGGTATCTCTCCTCTCACAAGGCCCTAGTACACAACTATTTGTGCAAGCACCACAGAACTAACCTTGGAAAGGTAAGCCGGCCAGAGAAAGGGAACACCTGCTCACGCAGACATGGGATCTAATAGAGTACCGGTCTATATGCACGGCTCTTTCAAGGCTGATGGTTGTTGTGGGTTTTTCGGGCTTCTTGGCCGTGTTCTGAAGGTGCTTGAGAGCCTTACCCAGAGCACAGTTTGCTGTCC